TGGGTCTTTTGTTTTTCCATACAAAATTGATTATTGTTCTTTCAAGGTCTGTGAAGAACTGTGCTGGGATTTTAATGGGGATAGCATTGAATCTGTAGATTGCTTTTGGCAGGATTGCCATTTTTACTACATTGATCCTACCTATCCAAGAGCATGGGAGATCTTTCCATTTTCTGAGGGCTTCTTTAATTTCTTTCTTTAAAGATTCAAAGTTCTTACGATACAGGTCTTTCACTTGTTTGGTTAGCGTTACCCCAAGGTATTTTATGTTGTTTGTGGCAATTGTAAAGGGTGATGTTTCTCTGATTTCTCTTTCAGCCCTTTTATCATCTGTATATAGTAGGGCTACTGACTTTCTTGAGTTGATCTTGTAACCTGCCACTTTGCTGAAGGTGTTAATCAGCTGTAAGAGTTCCCTGGTAGAGTTCTTTGGGTCATTGATGTAAACTATCATATCGTCTGCAAACAGTGAAAGTTTGACTTCTTCCTTCCCAATTTGTATCCCCTTGATCCCCCTTTGTTGTCATATGGCTATAGCTAGAACTTCAAGTACCATGTTGAAAAGGTATGGACAGAGTGGACAGCCTTGTTTTGTTCCTGATTTTAGAGGAATTGCGTTGAGTTTCTGTCCATTTAGTTTGCTGTTGGCTGTTGGTTTACTGTATATGGCTTTTATTATGTTTAAGTATGTCCCTGTTATCCCAGATCTCTCCAAGACCTTTATCATGAAGGGGTGTTGGATTTTGTCAAAGGCTTTTTCAGCATCTAGTGAGATGATCATGTGATTTTTGTTTTTCAGCTTGTTTATATGGTGGATTACGTTGATGGATTTTCGTATGTTGAACCATCCCTGCATCCCTGGGATGAAACCTACTTGATCGTGGTGAATGATTGTTTTGATGTGTTCTTGGATCCGATTTGCCAGTATTTTATTGAGTATTTTTGCATCAATGTTCATGAGGGATATTGGTCTGAAGTTCTCTTTCTTGGTTGTATCTTTGTGTGGCTTGGGGATCAAGGTTATTGAAGCCTCATAGAAAGAGTTTGGCAGAGACCCTTCTGCTTCTATTGTGTGGAACACTTTGAGAAGAATTGGTATAAGCTGTTCTTTGAATTTGTGGTAGAATTCTGCACTGAGGCCATCTGGACCTGGACTTTTTTTGGTTGGGAGACTTTTGATGACAGCTTCTATTTCCATAGGGGTTATAGGTCTATTTAAATTGCTTATCTGTTCTTGATTTAGTTTTGGCAAATGATAGCTGTCCAGGAAGTCATCCATTTCCTTTAAATTTTCGAATTTTGTGGAGTACAGGTTTTCAAAGTATGACCTAATGATTCTCTGGATTTCCTCAGAGTCTGTTGTTATGTCCCCCTTTTCATTTCTGATTTTGTTAATTTGCGTGTTCACTCTCTGCTGTTTGGTAAGTTTGGACAAAGGTTTGTCTATCTTGTTGATTTTCTCAAAGAACCAACTCTTCGTTGCATTGATTCTTTGTATTGTTTTCCTGGTTTCTACTTTGTTGATTTCAGCCCTCAATTTGATTATTTCCTGGCGTCTACTCCTCCTGGGGGAGTTTGCTTCTTTGTGTTCTAGAGCTTTTAGCTGTGATGTTAATTCTCTGGTATAACTGTTTTCCTGTTTCTTCATGTGAGCACTTAGTGCTATGAACTTCCCCGTAGCACTGCTTTCAAAGTGTCCCATAGGTTTGGGTATGTTGTGTCTTCATTCTCATTGAATTCGAGGAAGTCTTTAATTTCTTTTTTTATTTCCTCTTTGACCCAGGGATGGTGCAGTTGAGCATTATTCAATTTCCATGAGTTTGTAGGTTTTCTGCAATTTGTGTTGTTGTTGAATTCTAATTTTAAGGCATGGTGGTCTGATAAGATGCATGGAGTTATTCCAATTTTTTTGTAGCTGCTGAGGTTTGATATGTTGCCAAGTATGTGGTCGATTTTTGAGAAGGTTCCATGTGGTGGTGAGAAGAAGGTATATTCTTTTTTATGTGGATGAAATGTTCTATAGATATCTGTTAATCCCAGTTGGGTCATTACTTCTATTAGACCCTTTGCTTCTTTGTTGAGTTCCTGTCTGGTATTCTTGTCTAGTGGTGAGAGTGGTGTGTTGAAATCTCCCACTATAACTGTGTGGGGCTTTAGATGAGATTTAAGTTCTAATAATGTTTCTTTAACGAATGTGGATGCCTTTGTATTGGGGGCATAGATGTTCAGGATAGACACTTCGTCTTGGTGGGTTTCACCTGTGATGAGTATGTAATGACCTCCTTCATCTCTTTTGATTGATTTTATTTTAAAGTCTAGTTTGTTAGATATTAGGATTGCTACCCCTGCTTGTTTCTTGGGTCCATTTGATTGAAAAATTTTTTCCCAACCTTTAACTCTCAAGTAATGTCTGTCTTTGAGGGTGAGGTGTGTTTCTTGTATGCAGCAGAAGGAAGGGTTCTGTCTTCGAATCCATTCTGCTAGTCTGTGTCTTTTTATGGGTGAGTTAAGGCCGTTAATATTGAGGGATATTAATGACCATTGATTGCTCATCCTTCTTCGATTTGCGATGGTTGTTGTTGGTGAAATTATGGGTGGAATTTCGCCCCTTTGTTCTTTTGGCTGTTGGTAGAGAGGGATTCTCTAATGCTTATGTTTTTCTGGTTGTAGTTAGCTTCCTTGGGTTGGAGTTTTCCTTCCAAAATTTTCTGTAGGGCTGGGTTAGTGGACACATATTGGTTGAATCTAGTTTTGTCATGGAATATCTTGTTTTCTCCGTCTATAGTGATTGAGAGCTTTGCCGGGTATAGTAGTCTGGGCTGGCATCCATGGTCTCTTAGTGTAGGTAGAATATCTATCCAGGACCTTCTGGCTTTCAGAGTTTCCATGGAGAAATCAGGTGTAATTCTGATAGGTCTGCCTTTATATGTTACTTGACCTTTTTCCTTAGCTGCTCTTAATATTCTTTCTTTATTCTGTATGTTTGGGGTCTTGATTATTATGTGGCGAGGGGATTTTTTTGTGGTCCACTCTATTTGGTGTTCTGTAGGCTTCTTGTACCTTCATTGGCATGTCTTTCTTAAGGTTGGGAAAGTTTTCTTCTATGATTTTGTTGAATATGCCTTCTGCCCCTTTGAGGTGGATTTCTTCTCCTTCTTCTATACCTATTATTCTTAGGTTTGGTCTTTTCATGGTGTCCCATAATTCCTGGATGTTTTGTGTTAAGGATTTGTTGGATTTAAGGTTTTCTTTGGTTGATAAATCCATTTCTCCTAATGTATCTTCAACACTTGAGATTCTCTCTTCCATCTCTTCTATTCTGTTGGTAATGCTTGTATTGGTAGTGCCTGACTGTTTGTCCAGCTTTTCTATTTTCTGCCTTTCTTCAGATTGTGTTTTTTTTAGTGTCTCTATTTCAGTTTTCAACCCTTGCAGCGTTTGCATTGCTTCTTGCAATTTTCTGTTTATCTGTTCGTCCGTTTGTTGCCTTTTATGAATTTTTTGGTTTGTTCTTTCTTCCATTTCTTGCATTTTTTGGTTTGCTTTTTGTTCCATTTCTTGGATTTTGTGCTTTGTTTCTTCTTCCATTTCCTGCCTTTTTTGGTTTGTTTCTTCCTCCATTTTTTTCATTTTTTGCTTTGTTTTTTCTACCATTTCTTGCATTTTTTGCTTTGTTTCTTCTTCCATTTCCTGCCTTATTTGGTATGTTTCTTCTTCTAATTCTTGCATTTTTTGCTTTGCTTTTTCTTCCATTTCTTGCATTTTTTGCTTCATTTCTTCTTCCATTTCGTGCCTTTTTTGGTTTGTTTTTTCTTCCAATTCTTGCATTTTTTGGTTTGTTTTTTCTTCCATTTCTTGCATTTTTTGGTTTATATTTTCTTCCATTTCTTTGAGGGATTTTCCAATATCCTCTTTTAGGGCCTCTATCATTTTCATGAAAGTGCTTTTAAGGTCGTTCTCTTCTGCTTCCTTCGCGTTGGAATATTGGGGTCTTGCTGGTGTGGAGTCTCTAGAATCTGGCGGTGTCATATTTGTCTTTCTGTTGCTGACTGTGTTTTTGTATTGTCTCTTTCCCATCTCTTCTTTTAGTGGGTGCAGAAAGAGCCCCTTCCTGGTCTGGGGACCAGAGTTCCCTTTTGGTGGGTGCTAGTAAGTCCAGTAATCTGGTGGTTCTTCTATGCCTTGTCCAAATGCTGGTCCGTGGGTAGAGAAGAAGAACAGGAATCTGGGGCGCTTAGCCTCCTACCTGGTCCCCTGGACCCTATGCTGGGTCCTGTTGTACCTGATTCGGAACAGCTACTCCCCTGGTCTCCCTGGCTCCTGTAGTTTCCTGGTCTCTTTGGTGGGAGAGAAGATCTGGAGTCTGGGGTGCTTGGCTCCCGCCGGGATTGGGAGCTCTGTGCAGTTCCCAGGCGATCTGCAGGCTCTGGAACACAGGCCGGGAAGCTGGCCTGTTTACCTGATGCTCCCGCCGGGATTGAGAGCTCTGTGCAGTTCCCAGGCGATCTGCAGGCTCTGGAACACAGGCCGGGAAGCTGGCCTGTTTACCTGATGATGCCAGAGGGACAGCTACTTCCCTGTGCGCCCAGCCTCCTCTCCTTTCCTGGAATCGTTGGTGGGGGAGAAGATCTGGAGTCTGGGGTGCTTGGCTCCCGCCGGGATTGGGAGCTCTGTGCAGTTCCCAGGCGATCTGCAGGCTCTGGAACACAGGCCGGGAAGCTGGCCTGTTTACCTGATGATGCCAGAGGGACAGCTACTTCCCTAAGTCATGTTTTTCAATGACCTACCTGCTTCAAACTTGTCCCAAACTCAATATGCTTCAAATTCTTAACACTTTGATAATCTCAAAACAATTGTGTATATGACACAGTCCTTTAAAATCATTTTCTGCATTTGTAGGTATAAAGATTTAAAATTAGTTATGTAATATTCAAAACCAGTATTGTTGGAGTTTTCAGTACACTTGGAGTATTTGTTAACAGTGCTTCCATTTTTCTCAGATTCCTCAGTCTGTGTGCCATAAGAGATGTGGGCCTGGATTCAGGAAAATTGCCCTGCTTGGCAAGAATATTTGCTGCTATGATTGCATTCCCTGTCCTGACAGGGAGATTTCTAATGAGACAGGTAAGCAGGAATCTTACAAAGAATGGTTCCTCGTGTCTACAGGACCTCACATTATCTTAACTGAAATATATATTCGTAGAAGTGAGACAATTTTATTCCTTCTCTTATTTTGGATAAAATGTTTACTGCTGTTTCTGGATTTGTTCACACAAGGCATAGAAATTTATAAGTTGATTTATATTTATAGGCAACTGCAAGAAACCAATTTCTTTGTTATGATCCACACACTTTACTTCCCCACAAAATTTAACACAGAATAATAGAGTGGCAAATTTTATTGATATATTAACTGTATTTCAATATAATTAGGACTCAGCTAAATGTAGGGTTGGTAATATTCATAATAACTCTTCTCAGCTATTTGTTTTTATACAGAGAAGTTTAGACATTTGTTTTTGATGTCTTCAGTAAACAGGTTTTTGACTTACAGCATGAATAAATTTCAGTTTACCCTATTCAATGGCTATGTTTATGTATGTCTCTATTGTTCTGCTCCATGTAACATAGACAATATCCTCAAGACAATTTCAACAATATGTTAGGTAGAGCTCCATCATGAACTAAGAAGACCTACAAGGGATTATAGAATCTTCGCTTCAAGGAACAGTTCATGAGCTTACTCACATCTTACTTTAGGAAGAAACACCTTTAGAAGTCAGTATTTCCATACCTAGAAATAAAATTAGAAGCAGAGTATTTATTTGTGTATCTTTTCATATTTCATATTATGTATTTTGATCATATCCATGCCTTGCCAAATATTCCAAAACTTTCAACTTGCTCACTTGTTGTTCTATTCAAAAAATACGAAATAAATGCTTATTGAATCCAGTTTATAATACCCAAATACTCTTTGTTATAGAGGCTCTGCTGGAATATGAACTAATTATTAATGCAGGCCACACTCTTACAGATATGAGTCTTCTTTTTTTTTTATTTTTACGAGACAGGGTTTCTCTGTATTGTTTTGGAGGCTATTGGTCCAGCCTGGCCTCGAACTCACAGAGATCTGCCTGCCTCTGCCTCCCGAGTGCTGGGATTAAAGGTGTGTGCCACCACCGCCGGCTGAGTCTTCTTGTTTTAATAGCCATGAAATAAATAGTTTCTCTGGCATGAGTAGTTATTTATGCAAATTCCTCCATGAATTTCCCATGTTAAGATATAATAACTGTGCTTTCAAAGTGTAAGCAAAAAGTAACCCCATTTAAAGAATAGATATGAATATATACATGGATCTATATATGGAATATATATATAAACATTATATACATGAATAGTATCTATGGATGTGTAATAAATACATATATGCATATAGATAGACAGATAGACAGATAGATAGATAGATAGATAGATAGATAGATAGATAGATAGATAAGAGAGTGTTAATGCCCCCATATATGTGTACATATGTAATGGAGCTTCAGTTTATGGCAGTTTCATGAATATTTTTCATGTGTATATGATAATAGAGTTTTACTTACCTATACAAAGTCCTTCTAATGAGCATACATCACAAAATTATGGGTAAATAATACTACTAAACACTTGAAGTAGAAAAGATTACTGATTGAATGTTACCAAAAAGTTAATGTTATCTTGAAATAGATATCCTCATTTTATATAAACTAGTTTTCAATACATCTATCATCAGCCTTTATTAAGGGTTGCAGCTATGCCTGTGGATATTTGATTACAAAGTAGAAAACAAAAAGGAATTCAATACTTCTATACAAAAGAAATCAAATAACCAAACTTGAAATAAAATCTTTAAATTAGGTCCTAAGAAGGCTTATGTCAATATGTTAGAATAGTATAAGGAAACAAGTAAATATTTCCAAGACATAGAAATATATATTTTATTCTACTAAAGTACATTTAAATCTGTGTTAAAGTGTATCAACAAAATAAAATCGAATATCTAGTGTTTTCTTTAAGAAACACAGGAAAAATTGACAGTAGAAATCTAATATGTGCAAATCAGTGTGCATGAATTTCAAACACAGGATAATTTTACAAACTTTCAAGAGCAGAATATTATAAGACGGTTTTGTTAGGTACTCAAAAAAAGTTTCAGTATTAGTAACATTTCCTCAATAGTAGTTACAAGTGTTGACCCGTGCACCTTTCAAACCACTGACAATATGGTAATGATTATTCAATAAACCTTCAGCAGAGAAAAAACAAAACCATAAAACACAGTTTTATAAGGATAATGAAAATTTGAATCCATACTCAAGAACTCCACTTATGAAAATAATATCAAAAGTAATTCTCCCTCTTTTGTTATACACATCTCTCCAATTCATAGGGAGGATATAACATATAATTTGATATTGCAAAGAAGTCAGTTTGTGCAATGTAATTCAAATTCAAATAAATTCTACCACAGATACACAAATAACACAAAAGGCAGCAAAAGTTCATAAGAGAGAAATGACATAAGATTTGTTTGACTAATATCACCTGTAAAGAAAATGCATTGTAAGAGAGGCTACTGAACAATTGATGATTAACAAAGGAGGGAGATCAGTGTCCCTTAAGGTTGTGGATTCTCAAATGCTACACATATTACAGTAGACGCCCCCACAACATGTACATACTAACATAACTGGATAGACTCGGTGTGTATTAAAATGTAAAAACAAGACATAGAGAGCACATTGAGTTGGGAGAGAAAAATGAGAGAAGGTGTGGAGTAGAGCAGGAGAAAAGAAGGCTGTGGTGAGTTCACAAATATTTATGTACTTATAAATAACACGTGAAATCTCTAATAAAGAAGACAGGTTGTATAAATATGGAATTATTCACTACAGAGTACTTATTATTTTGTTCCTGACAAAATAGGAAAGTAACTTGGGTAATAATCCAAAGAGCAGGCACTGAAATGTCTTAGGACAAAAAAAATGATCAACTCAAAATAGACTCACGATCACCTTCATTTCTAAACAGATATGGATCAATGCATGAAGTGTCCAGAAAGTCATTATGCAAACACAGAGAAGAAGCAATGCCTCCAGAAAGTTGTGAGTTTTCTTGACTATAAGGACCCCCTGGGGATGTCTCTTACAACTGTAGCTCTTTGCTTCTCTGTACTCACAGCTCTGGTTCTTGGACTCTTTGTGAAGAACAGAGACACTCCAATTGTCAAGGCTAATAACAGGACACTCAGTTACACCTTGCTTGTCACACTCACCATCTGCTTCCTCTGTACCTTTCTCTTCATTGGTTGTCTCAACACTACTGCTTGTATGTTACAGCAGATCACATTTGGAGGTGCTTTCACTGTGGCTCTTGCCACTGTGTTGGCAAAAGCTATCACTGTGGTTATTGCATTCAAGGTCACTTTTCCAAACAGAGTGGTGAGGTGGTTAATAATATCAAAGGCCCCAAACTTTATCATCCCCATTTGTACTCTGATCTACCTTGTCCTCTGTGCAATCTGGCTAGGAACCTCTCCTCCCTTCCTTGATCAAGATGCTCATTCTGAGCATGGGCATATCATCATTATGTGCAATAAGGGCTCAGCTTTTGCCTTTCATGGTGTCCTGGGATACCTGTGCTCCTTGGCACTTGGGAGCTATACCATGGCTTTCTTGTCCCGGAATCTACCAGACACATTCAATGAAGCCAAGTTCCTTTCATTCAGCATGCTGGTGTTCTTCTGTGTCTGGGTCACATTCCTCCCTGTCTACCACAGCACCAAGGGGAAGGTCATGGTGGCTATGGAAGTCTTCTCTATCTTGGCTTCTAGTGCAGCCCTCCTTGGCTTCATTTTTGCCCCAAAGTGCTACATTATCTTGATAAGGCCAGAGAAGAACAGTCTACATCATATCAGGAACACATCACATTCTAGAAGGAATAACCCTCTCAAAACCTAATTCAATACTAGTCTT